AAATTAATATATAATTTGGTTTTTTTTTTAAATATTTCACATAAAACTCTAATATTTTTGCATATTTTTCAGCCATTTTTTTTTTTGCATAATTTGAAATGAAAAACTAATAATTAATAGACTTTTTTTCCTTTAATATTTCACATAAAATTTGAATATTTTTGCATATTTTCTGGCATTTTTTACACTTTTTTTCAAGCAATTTTCGAATATTTCTGTATTTATTAATGAATTATGATTTACACCAAATGAAAATATATTAAATTACTTAATAATGTTTGAATAATTCATTTTTATGTTTACCTCAAAGATATACAATTTAAAGCTTTCTTTGCATATAAAACTCTAACCTCATTGATGCATTTACCGCGATGACATGGATTTGAGTGACATTCATTGACATCTAATTCGCATTTGTTACCATGAAAACCTTCCGGACATTGACAACGGTAACCTCCGGTTGTTGATATACATGTACCACTATTTTTACATGGATTACTTTCGCAATAATTTCGCTCATTGCATCGTTCACCTGTAAAAAAAAAAAAAAAAACTACTATGATCATGTATATTTAGATGTTTTGCTTTTTTTGATTTCTTGTCTTCTATTGATTCGATTCAAATATATTTATTTTTTTTTCATAACCGTATACTTTGACCTATTTGACCTTGATAAGTTATGGATTACTTCGATATATTATTCTCTTTTTTTTATTTCCATTTCCAATAAAATATTGCTATATTTTTGGGAAGATAATAGAAAATTAACAATAAATAAATGTTAAAATTTCTGTGTTGTTTATTTCATTCTTAATAATTATTGATTCGATTCGATTCAATCCGATCTGATCTGATACGATACGAAGAACGGCGGCAATCACGTTTATTATTGCTCTTTAGTGGATGATTAAAAGCATTTTCGATCTAATCTGACTCTGATTACACATATTTCTTACTGTAACATACCGTGTAATCATTATATTCTACCCCTTCTCTTCGCTTTTCTTTCAAGGTATTGAATTTAAAAAAAAAAAAGATTGATTTCAGATGAGGCGAATGGTTTGCTTAAGTAATGATTATCTATTATTTGATCGATTAAAATAAATTACTTAATCTATCCAATCGTATCGAAATGTAATTTTTAATGTAAATTATTCAACCTGTACTTTTATTTGAAATTCATTTCAAAAAAAAAAAATTGCTTATATTTATTTATAAATGAAAATTTGAAGGAGGAAAAAAGAGAAATAGAATCCATAAATATTCATAGTTTAATTAAATTATCACTCAAGAGAGTGATTAAATGATAAACGCTCAAAGCTCAAATCATAGTTCAATTAAAATTTTAATTTAATTCAATATTAATTCTTTTTTTTTTCAAAAAGTACTCATTACTCAACTATCGTAACTTTCATTAGCGGTAAAAGAAAAAGAAAAACTATTTTGGATTACTTCTCAAACAATTCGAAACTTTGCATTATAATAATACTATAAATGTTATTCAGTTTTGATTGATTTAAATTTCGAATATTTTGAAATTTGAAGAATTTAAAAAATTTTAAATTGCTTTATTGAAATGATGATCGATTCATCATTAAT